AAATAAATAAAATCTTTAAAAAAAAAAAAAAAAAAAAAGATACGCATATAAACACATGTTCAAGTAGGCATATACATATTTAAATTGACATAAATTACATAAAGATCAATAGTCTAAGGAAAAGTTTAAAAATGAGGTAATTTGGTACGACTCTACCCATGAAACAACTAAAAAAATATGTTGTAGTCAAAGCCACTTTTATGAAAGCCTGGAGATCTGACTAATCATTTTCTCAGGTCCTGAGGACTCTCCAGGAGCATACTCACTGGGCAGCTCTCCACGTTGGTAGGTCGGTGAGGGATAATAAAGGGTAGGACATCCAACCACCCAGGGCAGGCCTCGGGGGTGTGGCTCTGATTTTTGCAACTGGTCAGCACCACAAAGTAGTGCGTTGGGATGGGAACAGTAGTGTTCTCCATATATCTAAAAACACAATGGAAAAGATTTCATGTTAGTATACTTTTGCTTCTAAAACTTCTAAATGTCATTATACATTTTTTAAAGAAATGCTAAAGTAAAAATACAGTCAAAGAAAGCAAATGAATAGAAAGAACAAAATCTTATCACATATTTTTACACTTCCATGAGCCAGATCAGAGCTTTACAGAAATCCAAACTTGGTCATTATAACGCTATGGGAACATATGAGAATACAAAGAAAAGCAGACCATGACATTATGCCTCTTGTGTTTCCTAGTTTTGTTGACTTTATATTTTATAGTGACGATTTGCAGTAGAGCAAATCGGGACTGGAAACAAGCCCCAATGCCAACTCTAGCTGAGCACTTCTGCTAGATGTCTGGGTGGGTGCTAATCCTCTCACATTCTGTGACTTGGTAAGTTTCCTCAACTTTAATATGGAGGTGACCACTACTACCAACTTCACAGGGTGGACAAGGGGATAAATCCATATAACTGATATGACAGTCCTTTAGTTTTAGATAATGAACATGAAAGTGCTTTTAAAAGTTTTAAGTGCAAAATAAGGGTAGGCTATTATGACGAGCCCAGTAAAAGAAATATGACTGCCATAAGCAGTGATAGGACTGTGATCTTAGGATTTCTACATGAACTCAGAGGGTTTGTATCCTGGCTTTCCCACTTATTAGCTGTGGAACATAGACCAGATACTTAACCTCTCTGTACCTCAGTTTCTCCATCTCTGTATGGGCACTAACAGCATCTAACATAGGAATGTTTTGTGGACTAAATGAAGTGTATGTGTTTAGAAAAGTACTTAGCATGTGGTAGAGTGCTATCAAAGTGCTTGCTAGAATTATTAAATGGTAAAATATAGGATTAATAAGCACTAAAATAAAGACAAGGCAAATGAAATGGAAAAAGGCCACACACTGAGTTGTCACAAATGTTACTCTATCAAAAGGTAGAGGTAGAAACTGTTGCTTTATGCAATCTAGGCTCAGATAGCACGGTTGTTTAGTTTGGCCCTTCATACACTTTGCTAATAAAGAGAAATAATGAATAAGACTAAAACTCTCTATTCCTGTGTGCTGCATTCAAAGGTAATTCTTAGCAACATATTATGACCAGGTTTAGTACAAAGATATACAAGTTAATAGGACTGGTTTTCTAGAGGAAGCCTCTACCCTCTCCTGGAAGATATTTTATGAATCATCCACTATTGGACAATATTGTGAATCATCACTGCTTGATTTTTTTTAATTAATTGCCGGACTGGCTCTATATTTACTGATAGTACAGTGAGTCTTATCTCTTTAACTTTTACAAAATCACATTTTCCCTGTGGCCATTTGTTTAGAAATTTTCTAAATAAAAATTTTGCCGAACTTTTCCTCAACATTTTTTCTTTGCCCATTAGTTTAAATTTTTGCCATATAAAATTTTTGCAACATTTTTAGGCTAGTTGAAAATAGTCAATGATAGCATCTCTACATAAATATATTGTGTGATATTTAGAATATTAAGCTTTTATTTAGAGTACTGAGGTTTCCCCTCATGATACCCTATTGCTAAATCAAAAAGTCTATTTGTTTTCAAATTACTTACCCTGTAATTTCATTTGGAGCATCAAAATGACCATCATAATTATAATCAAATACTGGCCCACTAACCACATTTACTCCATTTCTTTCCATGGCATGTTTCACAAGAAGAACACTGTGGAAGTAATCCCACATTTCTAAAAATAATAGAATAAGACGTTAAAAATATCTATCTTTATTGAACATGGAAATATTTTCTATAATAGAGAGGTACATTTAAATAGCGTCAAGTTCTGCTTCGATAACTGTCAGTGATGATTAGGTAAATTCTGCAAAATAGCCCATGTAACAAAATAGTCACATTGATGGTACTTCCTTTTGCTGATGTAGTTGCAGTCTTGATATTACAGTAAAATATGTTTCCAAATTCCTTCCTAATGCTGAGGTGCTTTGGGGACAGTGATATTCAAACAACAGTCAGAACATACATACTGCTTTATTAATTATGATTCTAGGGACAAACACCTTTCACTCACTTATGGTAAGTGTCAGTAAAATTTTGTTTTGTGAATAACTATTTAGAGCTAAATTAGGATTAAAAACAAATTATTGAAGTTCTAGTCACAAGCTACCCAAAGTTGAAGTAAGTTAAAAAAAAAAAAAAAACTATGTCAGAGATCCTTCCTATTTCTAAATTTAAAGCATTAGAGTATAATGACTCAATATCAGAGACAAATTGCAAAAAAAAAAGATGCATTTAGTTTATAAGTTCATAAAGTCACTTAGGTATTTTTAAATTAATAATCTAAATGTATACTTACCTTTAAATGCTTTATACATAGGGACCAAATTACTTGTGATTAAAGCATCATATCGACTATCAGAAGTTCTATTGTTTGCTGCAAAACAAATGGATTTGATTAACTCTAGCCAGAAGAGAAAATATAACATACTACATAATAAGCAAAATAGTACTACATACTAATGAAAATTTATTAGCAGTCAAAACACAAGGATACTGAGTACTCTCCAGTAGAGGTTATCAACAATCGTGACAGCTTTATGCATTTGATACCTGTAGGTTGAATGGTGACCCTGAAAAAGATATGTCCAAGTCCTAAACCCCCTGTACCTCTGAATGTGATATATAGGAAAATTGGGTCTTTGCAGATATAATTGAGTTAAGGATCTCAAGATGAGATTATCCTGGATTTAGAGTAGGCTGGTGTTCTTATAAAAAAAGAGAGAGGAGGTTCAGGAAAGGAGAGATTCAGGCGAGAAGTCACTGTGAAGACATAGGCAAAGGTTGGAGTGACGTAGCCATAAACCAAGCGATGCCTGGAGCCCCCAGAAGCTGGAAGAGGTAAAGAAGGACTCTCCCCTAGATTCTCTCCTTCAAAGGGAGCATGGCCCAGCCAACATCTTGATTTTGGACTTCTGGTCTCTACATCTGTGAAAAAATACATTTCTATTGTTTTAAGCCACCAGGTTTGTGGTAATCTGTTATAAGAGCCCTAGAAAACAAGCACTGTACCAGTATGCATGCATAGTTATTGAATGTGCACAAAATAATAATGCTGCTATAAATAACTCTTCCAAAATCAAATTTCCCTAAGAAAGTGAGTTTTAACTCGATAAAGACTGCTGAGGACACCACATACGATTGGTTTGGAGGACTCCTGGATGTGCTATCTAGCACAGTGAGTGCTGGAGCAAAGTGCTCTGTCCCTCTGTGCTTCATTGTCTCATGACATCTATTATCATGGAAGTATCATGAGGATTAAAAAAGCTACAAGTCTGGGGCGCCTGGGTGGCTCAGTTGGTTAAGTGACTGCCTTCGGCTCAGGTCATGATCCTGGAGTCCCTGGATCAAGTCCCACATCGGGCTCCCCACTCAGCGGGGAGTCTGCTTCTCCCTCTGACCCTCCCCCTGCTCGTGCTCTCTCTATCTCATTCTCTCTCTCAAATAAGTAAATAAAAAATCTTAAAAAAAAAAAGCTACAGGCCTATAAATGTTTATTATAATGGTTTTTATATTTAAACTATACTTGGGTATGCTAATATTTAAATGAAAGGCCAATGGATGGGTGCCAAAAAGCAAGGAAAAACAAGTTGTTGGGGTTTTTTGTTTTTCCTTAAAATTTCACATGTTATTCACAGTCCTCAGAACCCTTAGAAGCTTTTTCTACTTTTTAAATTAAGCCCTGAAAGTTGGGATAGCAAACCATATAGTCTTACCTCCTTTTCAGAGAAAAATAAGATGAGCTTATAATGGAATTTCCAAAATAGTGGAGAGTTAGCAAAGAGTTTCATTTCATCCTTAAGATTTTTTGAGACAAGTTGTTTAGTTATTAATTTCATTTCCTTGTCGAGGCATTTATATTATCAACCAATGCCTTACGGCTCAACAGATACAATTTTATACATCAATTAAAAATTATTAATAAAATATTGCAACTACTTAAGGTTCATCCTAGCATTTCCATTGATGTGCTACTTGTTTTCATGAAGGATTTTTTTACCCCACTCTTAAGAACCCCTAAATTATAAATCTCTAAATTGACCTCTTTAGGTCATGGCTTCCAGAAAAATGAAGCCAAATATCAGGAGCAAATCCATTCCCAGAAGCTGAAATTTTTGAAAATCTCATGAGTGAGTTAATAAAAATGACATTTCCTGCTGAATAGAGAAGAGATTTGAGTTTAGAAAAATGACCCTGGCTTTTGCATGTTCTCAAGAGAGATGCTTTCTAAAAAACAAACAAACAAACAAACAAACCTGAAAACCAACAAACAAAAAAACGTAAAGTTCATTCAGCGGTGTGACATGGCTGGGCGTGAGCATGCTCTGTGTGCGACAGGCCCGAATTCCAGCCTGACTCCTCGCCACGAGCACAGCTGCGTGCTCCGTGCAGGCCCTCGCTTGGGTGGCAGCCAGAAACAAAAATGTTTTTTTGGACTCTTTGCGTCCCTCTCCAAGGAATCTTCAGTTTTAAAATTAAACTTAAACCTGCCGAACTCTCTGAACATCTGGGCCAGATTAGCGCTGATGTTTGGTTTGCACTGCAAAATTTATTAGTCTTTATTACAGCGGTTGTGCTGCTTCAAGTCAGCCCACAGCATCTGAAGCCTCCTGGGCAGCTAGTCCAGCCCAAGCAGGTAGTTTCGGCAGGGAGCGTATGTTTAAGGCACATGCCCACATCCAGCTGATGAGGGCTTTCTAAGTCGCTGCCCTAAAAAAGAGTTCTACTAACCAGGAGGATAGAGGAAGCCGTGGGCGATATTCTTGTCTGCTAAATAAAAGGAACACTTTTGGCTTTCAGAAGGAGCAACCCTGACATCAGCCCGTAGACAGCCTGGGACAGTGGGAGGAAGAGGCGATGTGTCTCCCTGTTGAAAGAAAGAAAAAGAGGGAAAAAAAAAAAAGTTACACCCACAGTTGTGGCTAAACCCATCACCTTATATGGTTTGTAACTTCCCTAGAATGTTTTTCATTTAACCTTTTCCTATTTTCTTAGTGAATCAGGTCTACGCAAGCAATGGAAATGGATGTCTTCAGCAATGTTTTTTTCTGTGGTTCCCTTCTGGTTAGGGACACTTGGAGGGCAAATCAAATACATCTTGGAAAGGAATATTTGCAGAATAAAAGTGAAATGAGAGCCAACAAATAACAGGAGCTACTACTAAAAAACAAAATTCTTTTTAGGATCTAACTTTTAGGTGGATATATATATGGTGTATTTATAAGTAAATATTGAAAATAAAATAAAAACATTTCATTTTAAAAATACACATACAAACTAAGGATATTTTTCTTCAGTTGGGCAATCTGAGATTAATTCAAAGAAGCTACAGTTGCCTGGACTTAACTTGGGGACTTAAGAAAATTGGTAGCTGTGCTTCATTTATCATGTAATATAGGAATATATTTTTTGCAATTTTCTTTGTAACTTTTATTTATTTATTTAAAGATTTTATTTGAGAGAGAGAGAGCACAAACAGGTGGAGCGGCAGAGGCAGAGGGAAAAGCAGACTCCCTGCTGAGCAGAGAGCCTGAAGTGGGGCTCAATCCCAGGAGCCCGGAATCATGACCCGAGCCGAAGGCAGATGCTTCACCGACTGAGCCACCCAGTGGCTATTTAAAGACTAATACAATAACTTATCCACTAGCAGGCATCTTATAAATATGCTGCCTAACCCAAGTGTTTAAGGTAATACAGTATTAAATCATCATTATATTTCAATTAGCATATAATCATGAGTCAGTAATTTGCCATTCATTTCATTTTTTTCAGATTTTGATTCATATACCACTACTGCCCACAATGTATATATTTCTTAACAACAAAAAAAGAAGGTTAAATTAAATTATAATGTCCTTCCCCTATTCACTGCATTGTGCTAAAAGCGAAAATTAGCTGTGGTGTCCAAAATGTATGTAGTGATCATTTTATAATATATACATGTATGAAATCATCACACTGTACACTTTAAGCTTATATAATGTTTTATGCCAATTATATCTCAATAAAGCTGGAGGAAAATAAAATGTAGAAGATCAATTCACAAAGAAAAAGGCAAAAACCGCTGTGCACTATATTCATAGGCAGGAGAGTACCATGATGAGGTATAGAATAGGTAGGAGATGAAGATGAGTGAAGTCTAAGGAAAGCCAACCAGAGAAGGTACTCCCCAACAGACTACAACACTCCAGTTGGAAAACACTATAAAGAAGTTGAATAGACTCCTCAACTAGATTGAACACATTTATCTCTGCTCCCTCCTGAAATCCCATTAAAAGAACATTAATGGTGAAAGCACATAATGGATCATAAGAAATTTTCAGAAGCTGGAGATCAGATCAACATCTGTTTACTATTGTAACATGGCTTAGTAGACCAGTATATACTGACAACCAAAAGCCATGATTGGGGAAAGCACAAAGAAGTGGATTCCAAAACCCAAGGGTAGAACTTGGAGTCTCCTAAGGACGGGTAATGTACATAGGGCCAGAAAGAAGAGGACAGGTTGAAAGTCTGTAAAAGAGGCTAGATAGAAAGTTTACTCACTGGAGAGGTTGAACTGGAGGAATGTTCAGACTGAAGGACACAAAACAGCCCAGACAGCAGGTGCATCATATTGAAAGCAATGGGATTAAATAAAAATCCATATATGAATGGTAAGACTCCCCCCAGTCTCACTGCTCACATGAAGGCTGCCCAATTTTATATGCTGGGTGTATAATTATTAGATTAAAAGTGTCCTTTCTTTGGAATACAAAGCAGCCAAAAGGAAAACTAGATGCTTACAATTAGGAATCCCCAACAAAATGGCTGGTTCTTATCCTGATCAACCTATAGTGAAGTCCACCAGCTGGCCAGCCCCCAGCCACACAGCTTAGTGACTGTCCCTTAACATATAAAATTATAACTAAAGATCACCAAACATTTTCTCGGGGTAGAGGAGGAACCAAGATAAAAAAGAGACAATGCAGAGAGAGAAGAAAACTTGCTCAAGATGAGAGTATATATGTTATCCATATAGGAAGAAGAGAAAGCAGTAGAAAAGCAGAAAGAGCTCCTGGGATTTAAAAAAGAATATGACAACAGAAATAAAATATTCAATAAGATTTATAAGATGAAGTTGCAAATATCTCCGAAAAAGTAAAATTAAAGACAAAAGATGGAAAAAAATTAGGGAACATATAAAAAACATTAGAGAATCAGTGCAGGAAACTTTATATCCTATTAATTTGAAGAAAAATTATCTCTAAAATTCTAAAGCTAAACCATCAAGTAAGTGTATAGATGGAATAAGAATCTTTTAAGATACATAAAGTCTCAAAAATATACCTTTCCTTCTTCCTTTCTCAGGAAGTTCCTGAGTGATAGAACTCGCCAAACCAAAAAATAAATCAAGAAATATGAAGATATTTGTGTTAGAGGCAGTGGATTAGCTCTCACCATTCATTCCACTCTCCTCATGGCAGACACCGGAGAGCTAAAAACATTTCCTTATATCCTTTCAGAAACACACCAGAGCAAACAGTTCTGAATAACCAGGTTTCTTCATTTGACATAAAGGGGCATGTAAAGATGTCATAAAATGGGAGAACCAACAATATCGATTATCAGCCCCATAGACAACCAGAATCTCGTGAGTTCATGTTTCCTATCACACGTCTTTATCATTTTACTCTAAAACATCACGTTTTGTACATTTTACTTGAAGAAATGTACAATACATAAATATAGCCATGGATGTATTTTCTGTAATGGAAGGAAGATGAAATGCCTATACTCAACAGTTAAAATTATAAAAATGGGGACACCTGGGTGGTTCAGTGGGTTGAGCGTCTGCCTTCAGCTCAGGTCATGATCCCAGGGTCCTGGGATCGAGTCCTGAGTCGGGCTCCTCACTCAGCGTGGAGCCTGCTTCTCCCTCTGCCTGCCACTCCCCCTGCTTGTTCTCTCTCTCTCTCTCTCTGAAAAATAAGTAAATAAAATCTTTTAAAAATAAATAAATGTTAAAAATTATAAAAATGTTAAGGAAGGAAGTATATTGTAATTTTTCATGAGGCCGTAGCTATAGAAGTTATACTCACATAACAGTTAGGCAAAAATGTTTACTGTTTTCTCAAAGTAGTATAGACTTGGAGTTGGGGGACATGGATCAGGATGGCTTTAGCCAGAAAGTGCTAAAAAAAAGTTATGCTTTTTTTTTTGTTTACTGAAAATCTTGCTTCTTACATACCAAACTTGAACCCCTAATATAAGTGCATCGAGACAAGGAAAGACAGGATGTGGCCTTCTTTAGAAAGGGGAGATTATGCAATAGGCAGCCCTCTAGAAGGATGGAGGGGAGGTGTGATCACGTCACTTCTGAGTCCTGGGCTCCTGAGAGAAGGCACAGCGAACCATCATCCCCCCACCTCCACACATAGAAACAGCTTCAACCCTGCTAGCTCTTCAGAGTTCTTTAGAGTTTTTTAAGCCAGGGGATAGAAAGTCAGGAAAACAATAAATAGAACTCAGACACTCAGATAAAATCTGAACTCCCTAGCTCTCAAAACTCTTCAAGAGAGGTAGATGATGAGCATAGACAGGAAAGCAAGATGCTTTCATTTCTAGTCTGGCATGGGGTTAAAATAAAACTTGAACAGTGGATAAAATTATTTTTATTGAAGTTATAGACTCTCTTTACCTGTAGGCTGAACATAAAAGCTAAACTTATTTATTTGAAGATTGGATTGTTACCATCTGATCTTATGGTAAGGATAATCACTATATATTTTTAAAATTATTATTTTTCTGGACGTGGTTTTTTTCTTTAGGGAAAAATATTTCTTATAGTTCCAAAAAAATGTTTCCGATACATAATAATGTTCCTAGTTTTTTAAAGAATCATTAAACATGATTGGGCCATAATTTATAATATTAGCGCTAATAAGCTTTTGAAACAAAAAAAGGCTATTCAAAAATCCAATGATATGGGACATATATACACATAGATCGAGAGAGAGGGAAACATTCTTCAAGTGCGCTAGATTTTCTTCTCTGAAAAAGTGTTTTGATTTACATTAAACTTATAAGGTATATATTCTAAAACATAATCGCAATTTTTGCTCTTAATTTCAATTTTTCACCCAGCAACAGAAAAAGCAGCTCACGTAGTCCTACTCAATGGGCCCAGAAGCGAAACCCATATACAGTCTAATCAACCCTAATAGTTTTGAAGCTGTTGTTGCAGGAGCACGATTTCAAATCACAGCTCCTTCTCCAGAACTCTTCTGAGATAACAATAACAACAACAAAAATTAGAAAACCCACCAAAACCACAGAAAAACAAAAGCTCCATAAAACTTAAAGGCACAAGCCAATTGGGCCCATGCTCCAAAAAGTGCTTATTTAAAGTCTGATTTTTCAAACACAGGGCTGATTTACAGCATTTTTATGTGAATCTCAAAACATCCTTGTATGTAATTTTCTTGAACCACAACATACTAACAGAGTAATTTCTGAATTAGAAAGCAGAAAATTGCTAGAATTCCATCCTGTCACATGGAGGGAGAAATACACAAGTAGTTCTGTGGGATCAGTGAAAGGACAGGAACTTTTGGTAACAAAGAAGCTAGTTTTAAAACAATAACAAAAAAGAATTGTACTAAACTCCTGGTCTGAGCCCACTTAAAATCTCTCTGCTTCTGGTTTCTGCTAAAGCTCATATAAATTCAGGAATGCAAGACAGAAGGGGAAAGTATTAAAAACATAAATATTCCCCTCAACTCCACACAATCCCTGATACCTGGACTTTTCAAAATAGAGAATTGAATGCTAAGACTGGCCTTGAATATACTGCCCTTCTCAATACCACAAACAAATAGGAATTATTTAAAGGAATAAATAACTTCACATTGTTGTTCCACAGTGTGTTGAAGAAAGTCACAGACTGGACATTTTGCATAATAGGAAAGTGATGTTGTCATTAACCATACACATGAACTCAGGTAACAGCTGGTAAAAGATTTGCCCACATTGGGAAACAACATCAATGCTCTCCTACCGCGGGCCACAATTAAACCATCGTCAGCAGCAGAGTTGGTGCTCAGAACACACAAAGCTTCAATTAATAGTGGGAAAATATGCTTATTTTTCTCCAGAAATCTTGAATTAGAACAAGAAGAGTAAATAAACCAGATACAATCAATCACTTCCTGGCCATAAAAAGTGGAGCATCTATACTCTTAGCAAGAACAGTAATAGGTGGAGGTTTATCATCAGAGTCTTTGGATCTAAGACATCAAGATTATCTTGACAAGAACAGCTTCCTGATTGTTAATTTACTCTTCTAGTTGAAAGTACCACTTTCTCCTTAAGTCTTTTAAAATAATGGTTGGGATTAATTTAGCCAATGCATTCATTCAGGTAACATTTACTGGGCAGCTCTATTGTGCTGGGATACATTAAATAGAACCATCCCTGCCCTGAAGGGGTGTTTTGACTGATTTTTGGCAGACTTTGATTTTTGCTTTCATTTATGTTTCCCTGATTGCTAATGAGGTTCAATTGCTTGGCTCATAGTCATTGCCCATTTATTAACGAAGATGTTTGCCATTCTCTTGGTTAGTAGAAGAAATTTATTAGCTATTCTGGATCCTAATTACCATTCTGGATACTCATCTCTTGTTTCTTATATACAATGCAAATATTGTCTCATCCATAACTGTCTTTTTGTCACCCATTACATTAATATAGTCAAATTAGTCAATTTCCTCTGTATTTTTGTTGTTGTTGTTCTTGTGTCCCAAGAAATCCTTCTCTATCCCAAAGTCATAAAGATATACACAAAGGAAAATATGAATTTGCTGTTCACATTTAGGTCCATAAATCCACCAGCAATTTAATTTTGTATATGGTGTGAGATAGACATCTGACATTTTCTTTCTTTTGGTAGCCAAATGTCCCAAGGTCACTTATCAAAAGAGAGATTGCCAGACAATGAAAAAGGAAGAGAATTTTGACAGTTGGATTCTCAACCCCAGCCTGGAGAGATGTGACGTAACACATCTACACCTGTAAGTCTAGCCTGACGGATTAGAGTGCTTCAGGGATGAATTACTTCTCACTCACGTTGTGTTCCTTGTGCCTAACATAACACACAGCAGATGGTAAAGTATTTGTTAAACAATCAAATAAATATAAAGCCCTTTATAATCTAGTTAGCATCACCTTCTAGGTGCACCCACCATGTACGTAGGATAGACAAAATAGTGTGCTTCTGTATTTCGTGTTGTTTCTCTTGGAAATCTTCTTTTCTACCTGCCTTACCAATTGGCCTGTGAACACCTTTTAATTTCTCCAGGCAAAACACAATGTGTTCTCTTTTGCACACACACAGCACTTATAAATACCTTTAAGAAATACCTGGGACATTGTCTTACAAGACACAGACCGGTGAACTCCCTTTGGGATCTCTACTGAAAATCAAAAGTCAACTCTTAGAATATTCGAGAACTACAAATTTTTTCCAGCCTTCATGGCTCAATGGACACAGTAACTCACTGGTTTCGGTACTGTATAGGAGCTCCACATGGGCATCTTGATAGCTTTTCCAAATCCACTGACATATTCCCTGTGATAGAGAAGACAGTGTTCCTTGTTCTTCTGCATAACCCTGGGCCTCCCAAATGGCAAATTTAGTTTCTCTGTCGCTGTTACTAAAACGAAAATAACATAAAATAAAAATGTTGGTAAAATTAGCAAATGTTTCTTTCTATGCATAAAATTATCATCTGGTGGTTTATTACGTACCAGTTACTCTGATAATTACTTTACATACTTAACCTCCTAATTCTTACAACTCTGAAGCAAGTGTTATTGTCCATTCTACATATTACAAAACTAGGGTTTAGAAAAGTAATTTGGCCAAGCAGCTAACAGATCACAGGATGTATTTGAAGAGCTACAACCTCAAAACCAAAAGGACATACTTTGTAACAAAGATGACCTACCTTAATAATTATCATATGAATGATTTTGCAATTTTATAAAGAAAGTATGCCCTAATGTATTTATTTATTTTTATTTGCCTATTATTATATTCTAAAAATCCATCAATTATTGATAGTTTAAAAACCTACAAGGTATTCATGCCATTCAGTAACACTCAACAGATTATAAAAAGATTATCAACCAACCAAGACATTTACTAAACTCTTATTGTGTGCCAGGCACTATTCTAAGTGCACACATATATTAACTCATTTAATTGTCACAAAAACTCTACAAAGAAGGTATCCCCATTTTAAAATCATGAAACAGGCCTAGTGAGTTTAACACGAGAATACTTAAAAGATAATAGGTAATAATAATAATAGTTTTGTGGGTTTTTTTCTTCCTGTATATTGGCAATACAATCTTTATGTTCAAAAGCCTCTGGGAGCTTATTTTAGAGAATCCCAAAAAGGCAATATTGTGTTTTGTTAGGTCTAAACACCAAGGACTTGACATGTTTTCTATTGACTTACTTTCATCTTGAGAGAGATTTAGCATTTGATTCACATGTTCTAGAGAAGAATTCTGCAAGACAACATGGGGAAAAGAGAAAGTAAGTCGAAGTGATTAAGACATGTATGTAAAAGGTGGTCAGGATTACTTCTGCAGTAATACCCGAATATTTTACTACTCAACAAAGAAGCCAAACTAACTTGAGTTTAAATTCCAATTCCGCCACTTGCTCAGAAATATAAAGATCCTACTACTGCTTGGGATACTCTATGTGGGAGTTGACAAAGATAACAACCGATAATGGGACAAAGCACTGTGACCACAGCTAGAATCAACTACTAAACTGGAATGACAACATCCCTCAGTTTCTCAGGCTTTAATATGAGTACAACTCACTTGAGGGTCTTGTTAAAATTCAGATTCTGATTAGTAATCCTGAGCCCAGTAGGGCCTCAGATTCTGGATCTCTGACCAGCTTGCAAGTGAGGCAGATGCTGTTCCTGTGACCACACTTTGAACAGCAAAGTGCATTCTTTACAAAGAAGAATTTGGAGGTTTGCAGTCAGGTAGACCAAATTTCTGTGACCTTGGACAGTTTACTTAACTTCTCGGACTCTTCTTTGTTCCTCAAATGGAGATAAAAACACCTACGTTGTAATGTTTATTATTATTATTATTGTTATTATTATTATTTTAAATGGAGGTTCCATTCAGGTAAGCTGTAGGTAAGAAACCAACACCCCTACTCTGATCCAGGCTGTGGATTTGATTTTTATTGGAAATCTTGACCGGACTTTTGTCCTTTAAAGGCTCTTTTGGTCAGCATTTATTTATATACTTATTGATCTATGTGGTGTAATGTTGTTTTGAGGATTAGAGAAAGTCAAGTCTTTGCTGACTCCTGGCTATAAAGAATAATTCTTCCCAGAGGCAGCAGGTACTTATTTAGCTCTACAACATTTTGAACTTGGCATCAAATGCACCTTGACATTGGTTTTAACTTGATGGACTCCTGACAACTGGGCTCCAATTCCATCCTGAAATCCCAGCCCCCATCCCTGTGCTCTATTTCTCACAGGTAGGGTTGGTGCTTGCATTCTGAGCTCCTGCTCTGACTCCTTGCCTTTTGGGGGTGGGGGGACTCCTAGCGCTGGAATCTCACCTTACTGAGAGTCTCTTGGGGTCTGAAGTCAAGCTCCTGAGCTCAGCCAAGTGCCTGACCCACTAAAAAGACCTGTAAGAGGTCCTGTAGCTGTAAGAGGAAGGAAATCAAAGAGAGCTCCAAGATTCTACTGTGTTGAATTGTTAAGGACACTTAGCTCACAAGGGAATTGATAATGTCCAAATAGTGCTTTCCAGTTTACAAAGCATATTCACATACTTAATCTTACAATGCGTCTCTCATCTCCAGACAAGTTTCAGAGAAACCACATACATCTACTTAGTAAATATCTGAACTAGAACACAAACCTGGGGGTCAGCTACCCCGGTTATAACCCTGGTTATAGATTAACTTGCCCCTTTACATTCTTATGGATGTGTAAAGTTATTACTTACGTTTTGTAGCTCAGGGCATGAACAACTTAGAGCATCTGTGGGCAATGGAACAGTAAAGCCACAAAGAGAAAACTTTGACACTTCCTCTGCATGGGTTGGCTCATAAAAAGGTACCTTCAGAAGATGGTTTAAACTACCATGGGTGCCATTGTTTGGTGCTGGTTGAATGTGTAGAAGATCTGTGTTTAAAAATAAATTCAAAGTAGTTTTAAATTAAAAGGCAACAATATCTATCTCACAGATGGAAGAAAACAAAACTTCCTTGAATAAATTCTGCTATAACATGATCTTGTACTGCATATGTCTTCAGGTTAGTGTCTCTTCCCCCAGGGATTTTTTTTTTTTTTTTTTTAAAGATTTAT